GTCCCAGGGAGTTTGGGCTGTTCCTGTCCCAGGGAGTTTGGGTGTTCCTGGCCCAGGGAACTGAGATGTTCTTGTCCCAGGGAGTTTGGGTGTTCCTGTCCCAGGGAGTTTGGGTGTTCCTGTCCCAGGGAACTGAGATGTTTTTGTCCCAGGGAGTTTGGGCTGTTCCTGTCCCAGGGAGTTTGGGTGTTCCTGTCCCAGGGAGTTTGGGTGTTCCTGTCCCAGGGAGTTTGGGTGTTCCTGTCCCAGGGAGTTTGGGTGTTCCTGTCCCAGGGACAGGGCTGTTCCTGTCCCAGGGAGTTTGGGTGTTCCTGTCACAGGGACAGGGCTGTTCCCATTGTGCAAATCATGCCTCTGTCCTCCTTGGAGCTCCTGGCACATTTCAGGCCCTGCATGGGGAGCCTGAAAAATTCCCTTGGCTCCTTCCAGGCTGATAATTGAAACAAGCTTCCATAGCATCATCTCAATATTCCCAACACTTACTGGTGTTACAATTCTCTTCAACATCCTGGGGCTGGGATGATTTATCTTCAGCTCCTCAGGACTCTTTTCTGTGGCTTTTGGACTTAGAGATCTGGCTCGTGTCCAGATTTTTCTCTTTTCCCTTGACTTTTCCTCTGGCTTTTTGTGGCACCAGGTCCAGTTGGTGATGAGGAGATAAAAGCAGCAAGGCCAAAAGCCTTGGGAGGGATTTGGGTGGTTGTTGTTAAACATTTTAGAGTGTGGGATGTGTTCCAGGCTGGGTTGGTAGCTGTGAGCTTGGCTCTGTGTCCTGCTGTGGGGACAAGGGCTCCTGGAATCAGGAATGTTGAAATCTTTATCATTAATTGCTTGGTTGTTTTTTTTGGGTTTTTTTGTAAATTTGACTGATGAAAAGTGTGCTGAGAGAGAATGTGGCTGCAGAGAGACTGGCCTGGACAGGGTGGACTAAAATGTCCAAAACTTTGTCTTCCTAAATGATCTTCCCAAAAAATGCTGGGTGTGTGGTTGAGTTTCTGCAGGGATGCTCATCAGTATCCATGAAAGGGGATCCTGGGAATTCTGGACACAAATCCCAGGAGAAACCTGTGGGGCTCACCTTCCTTGTGGGAATCTTTCCAAGTTCTTGGTGCTCCTTTCCTGGCCTTTCCTGGAGCTGTGCTCCGCTAGGCTAGACCTGGAGCAATTCTCATTCCTGGGAGTTCCTTGGGATCCATCAGCAGAACGTGGGTGCAGGAGAGGACATGCCACGTGCCCTCAGCACAGCTGGCTCCCTTCAGGAGTGGGAGCCTGCTCGTTCATTCCTGCCACGTCTGGGACAGAATCCATCTGGGATTGGCTTGTAGGATTTTCACCTTATGGAAAAACCACCGTGAGCTGAGAGAACAGCTGGCTCAGAGCCTGCATTCCCTCCCAGCCACATCACCAGGAGAGATGGCGCAGCTTTCTCTGGGAATGGGGTCTGGGAGCTGCTCCAGAGGTGCTGCTGGGACAGTTCCTGCCGTGGAGAAGCCTGGAGGTCTGCCTGGGCTTCCTGGATTCCCACCTTCTGCAGTGACTTCCCTTTCCTGAGGGCTTTCTGGAGGTGGGGAAAGCTTGCAGGGTGGAAATGTTCTCTGTGCCAGCTCCGTGCAGCTCTCCCAGGAGTGCTCTCAGCTCTTCTGTTGGTGCCATTCCAAGATTTCCCTTTCCTGGGCTTCTCTTCCTCGGTGGAGAAGGGCGAGGGCAGGTGGGTGACCCCAGCTCTGCTGGCACTGGAATTCAGCACATTCCAAGGAAGGAGGCCTTTCCCAGCCCCATTTCTGCCATTCCCTGTGCTGATGCCAGGGCTTTGCTGCTGAAATCCACTTTATTTTCAGTCTGTCCTCACTTACAGACTCAGGGAGTGCTTTGGGTGGGAAGGAACCTCAAAGATTCCAACCCAAACCATGGCAGGGACACCTCCCCTGTCCCAGGCTGCTCCAGCCTGGCCTGGGACATTCCAGGGATCCAGGGGCAGCCCCAGCTGCTCGGGGAATTTGTGCCAGGGTCTCACCATCCTCACAGGGAAGGATTTCTGGAATTGTCTTGATAAACAACGTGGTTGTTCCCAAACCTTTCATCCCAATACTTCTCCCTTTCATGAACCTAATTCACTCACTGATTTTGTGGTGGGAATTTTGGGTCTTTGCCACAACAATATTCAGATATGGCTCTGTGTGGCTCTTGGATATTTTTTTAATTTGGCAACACCAGGATTGAGTCTGAGTGTGGAAAGCTCAGCTTTAATTTACACTTGGCATTAACTCAGGGAGCTGAGGAGCATTGGGGCTGGAGCTGCTCAGGATCAGCCTGGGAGAGCTGGTTTTTATTAAGCAGGACCTGATTTAGTCCAAAGTAAAAACCATTTGTGTTTAATCTGGTCCATGAAGCTGCTGGGAGTGTGAAAATGCAGAAAATGAAACATTTCTGGGCCATCACTGCACACAGCAGGACTGTGGGAACCTGGAATACTCATCCAGGGCTACATTTCCTGAGGAATTAATACCAAAACAGGAAGTTTTAAAGTTTGAATGCCTTGAAAAGACCTGGGGACAAATGTCCCTGAGCCATGACCCTTCCTTGGGAGGCTCCTCAGCCAAACCTGGAGCGATCCTGCTTTTCCCAGAGATTGCCCTTGGATTGCAGCAGGAAAATCACCTGCCCTGAGGGCATTTCTGTTCCCATCTGCCCTCTGGGAGCTGCTCCTGGGGACTGCTGGCTCACTGAGCTCCTTGCTCAGTGTTTAGGGCAGAGCAGCTCCTGCTGAACCAGGAAAATTCCAGAGCAAAAATTCCGAAAATCCCAAAACCCAAAACTTTTCCCTCTTCCCTTGAGAATGAGGTTGTTGTGTCCAAACCCTTTTGGAGCTGGCACTGTGGGAAAAGTCTGTCCAAACTGGGAGTTATTGCAAGTTATTATTGCAGTAAATCCTGAGGGACCCCACAGAGGGCACTGGGGTCTCCTGACAGAGCCTGCCAGTGTGGGGTTGGCACCTGGGGGGGCAGGAGCCTCTCACAGCCCCTGGTGGCATCCAGCACATTGCAGGGGTTGGGAATAGTTCAGGTCAGGGCTCTGAGCTGGGAATTCTTTGTTGCTGCTGGGTTTGGGAGTTCCTGGTGGGTTGGGAACATTTCAGTGTGTGCCCAGGTGGCATCAAGGTCTGGATTCCTGCAGTCCTGGGCAGGCTTGGTGCCATGAAAGCAGGAAACCTCTTCCATCCAAGGAGGAAAAAAGGAGTCCTGTGGCTGGAACATTCCTGCCAAGCCCTGCTGTGATGTGAGGCATCTTTTTATGAAATATTCCCTGTCCCTTCCCTCAAAGGGGAGCAGCCTCAGTGCTGCAGAGCCAGAGTGGGAACCAGCCTTGCATTTCCTCCTGCTGCCCTTGTCCTTCTTCCCCAGACCACCAATGAAAGGTAATTGCTGCAGGATTTTATCCCAGTCCATCAATCCTGATTTACAGCAGAATTCCTGGTCAAGCTTCAGTGCTAAAACACCACCACGAACTGTCTTAACTGAGCCTGGCTTGGAATAGAAATTTCCTGCCTTTCCTTTGTGTTCCCTTCTTTCCTTTTGTGTTTCCTTCTTTCCCTTTGTGTTCCCTTCTTTCCTTTTGTGTTCCCTTCTTTCCTTTTGTATTCCCTTCTTTCCCACTTCCCTTTCCCTTTGTGTTCCCTTCTTTCCCTTTGTGTTCCCTTCTTTCCCTTTGTGTTCCCTTCTTTCCCTTTGTGTTCCCTTCTTTCCCTTTGTGTTCCCTTCTTTCCCTTTGTGTTCCCTTCTTTCCTTTTGTCTTTGTGTTCCCTTCTTTCCCACTTCCCTTTCCCTCTGTGTTCCCTTCTTTCCCTTTGTATTCCCTTCTTTCCTTTTGTATTCCCTTCTTTCCCACTCCCTTTCCCTCTGTGTTCCCTTCTTTCCCACTTCCCTTTCCCTCTGTGTTCTCTTCTCCCAAAGCACTTTGATTCTTCCCTGTTGTTCTTTTCACACCATTTCTCCCCAGACTCAGGAGATTTTTATGATTTTTTTTTTGGTCTTGCAAGACAAATTCACATGAGATTTTCAGGATTTGCAGGGGAGCTGTGGGAGGGGAAATGGAATTCATTGGAGCAGTGGATTTATTTCAAACACGTCCCAGTGCTCTCCCAAATCTGAGTTTGCTCTGCAGGAGGGGATGGAAAGTGGAAAAAACTCTGAGGATTCATCCCAGGGTTCCTCAGGGCAGGAGGGGATGGAAAATGGAAACAACTCTGAGGATTCATCCCAAAATTCCTCAGGGCGGGAGGGGATGGAAAATGGAAAATTCTGAGGATTCATCCCAGGGTTCCTCAGGGCAGGAGGGGATGGAAAATGGAAACAACTCTGAGGATTCATCCCAAAATTCCTCAGGGCAGGAGGGGATGGAAAATGGAAACAACTCTGAGGATTCATCCCAAAATTCCTCTGTGCAGGAGGGGATGGACAGTGAAAATTCTGAGGATTCATCCCAGTGTTCCTCAAGGCAGGAGGGGATGGAAAATGGAAAAAACTCTGAGGATTCATCCCAAAATTCCTCAGGGCAGGAGGGGATGGAAAATTAAAAGAACTCTGAGGATTCATCCCAAAATTCCTCAGGGCAGGAGGGGATGGAAAATGGAAAATTCTGAGGATTCATCCCAGGGTTCCTCAGGGCAGGAGGGGAAAATGGAAAAACTTTGAGGATTCATCCCAAAATTCCTCTGTGCAGGAGGGGATGGACAATGGAAATTCTGAGGATTCATCCCAAAATTCCTCAGGGCAGGAGGGGATGGACAATGGAAAATTCTGAGGATTCATCCCAAAATTCCTCTGTGCAGGAGGGGATGGAAAATGGAAATTCTGAGGATTCATCCCAGGGTTCCTCAGGGCAGGGTGGGGAATTGCCTTTGCCAGCGTCACTGTGGTCACTTGGATGTGTCAGGACACTGAAATTCCATGTGGGGCTCGGGATATTTGGGATATTTGGGTCAGCAGGCCTTGGGTGGGTTCCTGGGGGGTGGGTAAATGGGTTTTGTTCCCTGGGTTGGGTGTTTTTCCTTGACTTGCTGCATCAGGATTGAGAGCAAACACGAAGTCACAATCTTAGGAGGACTCAACGAATTTGTTGTGAAGTTTTATGGACCACAAGGAAGTAAGTTTGTGACAGAAAAACAATCCACTGCCTTGGGGAATGAGGAAATGACATTCCAGAGGGGAAGGGATGAGCAAATCCAAGGGGGAGGGAGAGAAATCATCTTGGGAGGGTGGGGAGGATCCGCTGGGGCATGGGCATGGGCAGACCCCGTCCCTTGGAGCTCTGAAAACTCCTTCAGCATCATGGGCTGGCCTAGCCCTGCCCAAACCTGCATCCTCATGGGAATTTCCATGGGGTTTGTCATTAAAATGCCTTTTCCACCTTAATTTAGCTCCCTCTCCAAAGGTGAGGAGATTATCCCACAGTGCCTGGGTTTGGTCGTGCTGAGATCTCCTCAGGATCAGTTCAGACTGTGTGGGGCAGAGCAGGGAAAAGGCTCAAACCTGCCCCCCCCTGGGCTGGCCTAGCCCTGCCCAAACCTGCATCCTCATGGGAATTTCCATGGGGTTTGTCATTAAAATGCCTTTTCCACCTTAATTTAGCTCCCTCTCCAAAGGAAGGAGATTATCCCACAGTGCCTGGGTTTGGTCGTGCTGAGATCTCCTCAGGATCAGTTCAGACTGTGTGGGGCAGAGCAGGGAAAAGGCTCAAACCTGCCCCAGAGGAGCTGGGGGTCATCCAGAGGTGTTTTCCTCAGTGTTGTGTCTCTGCTCAGCTGTGCAGTGCCTAACTCTGCTCTTCCTCCCCTGCAGCACCCTACGAAGGTGGCGTGTGGAAAGTTCGAGTCGACCTTCCTTGAAATCTCCCCCAGAGGAGCTGGGGGTTATCCAGAGTGTTTTCCTCAGTGTTGTGTCTCTGCTCAGCTGTGCAGTGCCTAACTCTGCTCTTCCTCCCCTGCAGCACCCTACGAAGGTGGCGTGTGGAAAGTTCGAGTCGACCTTCCTGACAAATACCCCTTCAAGTCCCCTTCTATAGGTAACAACCACCCCTTCCCAGCAGGGTCTGGGCCTGGGCTGTGCAGGTGGAGTGCTGCCGGTGAAATATGTCTGGAAAACGGTTTTATGGGAGCTCAGATCCCAAGAAAAGAGGGATTTTGGGCTTTGGAGGGAGGAGGAGCTGGGGGTGGGCTTTGGCTGCACATTTGTGTGTTGATCAATCTTTATTCCATGTGGGTTTTTTAAATAATAGCTCCACTTCTTGTGGAATGGTGAGCAAAGACCACAGAAATCAGTTCTTGGTGTTGGAGTAAACCCAAATTTCGGGGTCTTCTGTCCAAAAGTGGGTGGAAGTTCCTCCCCTGAAGCCTCCATCCTCTTGCAGCAGGGAATACACATGTGGAAGAGCAGAAACCAGGGATTTCTCACCAAAAACCTGCTGGCTTGGCTGGCCAGGCTTGTCTCACCTTGGAGAGCAGCAGGAAATTCCATCAGGGAATGGTTTTGAGCTTGGATCCATCCCTGGGGAGCAGAACCCCCTTGGGTGCCCATTCCAGGCCTGGAGCCCTTTCCAGCCCTTTGGAGCTGGCAGATCCTGGCTGCTCCCTTCAAACACCCCCTCAGGCCCAGGTTTTGTTTGGGATCTCTGTGGGGTGAGGAATCACCTGTTCCAAGTGGGAATTGTGCCTTTTGGGAGAGGGTGCTGCTGTGCATACATTATTTTAATTAGTTTTTTTTTTTTAATTTGAAACCTGTGAACCCCAGCAATGTACAAACATTTCTGAGTGCAAACCCAGGAACCTGCAGCTCTGAGGAGCCTCCTCTTCCTCCCGAGGCAGCTCTGGAATTCCCATGGGAATTCCCAGTGCCTGCTGCCTGTCCTTTGTCCTTCCCCTCTTCCCAAACCCCTCAAATCCTGGAATGGTTTGGCTTGGAATGGATCTCAAACCTCTCCCAATCCCAGGCTGCTCCCAAGCTCTCTCTGCTCACATCTCTGAGTTCTTTTGGCCCTTCTCAAGTTGATTTTCTCTCAATTTTCCATCTCCCTCTTGTTTAAATCTCTTGTGTTTCCAGTGGTTTGTCCCAGACCCCACGAGGAGCTTCCCTCACTCCACGAGTCTCTGTTAAAGTGGCTGAAAATCCCTTCTTTTCTTCCCAAAAATCCCTTTCCTTCCCAAAATCTTCCTCTTGCTGAAAAAACCTTTTTTTTTCCTCAAGATCTTGCTGGAACCTCATTTTTTTCTTCCCAAAAAACTGCTTCTTGCTGGAAAATCCCTTTTTTCCTTCCCAAAATCTTCCTCTTGCTGAAAAAACCTTTTTTTTTCCTCAAGATCTTGCTGGAACCTCATTTTTTTCTTCCCAAAAAACTGCTTCTTGCTGGAAAATCCCTTTTTTCTTCTCAAGATCTTGCTGAAACCTTATTTTTTTCTTCCCAAAAATCTACTTTTTTCCTTCCCAAAATCTTCCTCTTGCTGAAAGAAACCCTTTTTTCTTCTCAAGATCTTGCTGAAACCTTATTTTTTTCTTCCCAAAAATCTACTTTTTTCCTTCCCAAAATCTTCCTCTTGCTGAAAGAAACCCTTTTTTCTTCTCAAGATCTTGCTGAAACCTTATTTTTTTCTTCCCAAAAATCTACTTTTTTCCTTCCCAAAATCTTCCTCTTGCTGAAAAAATCCCTTTTTTCCTTCCCAAAATCTTCCTCTTGCTGAAAAAATCCCTTTTTTCCTTCCAAAAAAAATTTCTTCTTGCTGAAAAACCCCTTTTTTCCTCCTCAGACTTGCTGAAAACCCCCATTTTTCTCCCTAAAAATCTGCTTTTTGCTGAAAACAAGAGCTGAGCTGGACCAAATCCTTCCTAGATCTGAGCTGGCTTAGCAGAGCCGAGCTCAGGAAGCCCCAAGGAACGTGCTGGGACCCACGAGGCTGCAGGGAAGGGTTTATTTTCCTTTTTTTCCCCATTTTTGTGCCCCAGCCCAGCTTATCTGTTTGAGGCAGGCCTGGGTGAGGCTCCTGGGGATCCTGCTTATCTCTGCTCTGGGTTTTGCTGATAAAAGCTGATCCCAGCTGGACTGGGAGTGCTGGGAATGGGGATTCTCCACTGCTGACTCAGCTCTGGGTAATAATTACAGTAATTAGTGGGGAAGGAGTTCCTGTGGAAATCTCTGGTTTTTAGAGGTGGCACTGAAAGATTTCAGGGATTTTAGAGCTCCTGGGCTTGTTCCTGTTCTCAGCAGAGTTCAGCTTGTCCCTGTGAGTTCCCTCCTGGGAGAAAATGTGGAATCCAGCAGCTTTTCCTTGGGTAAATTCCACTTTTAGCTTCGACACAAACGCCATCCTTGCACCTTCCCTTGATGTTCCAGGCCTGGAGGCTGAAATATTCCTTCCATCCTAAAAAATCTCTGAGCCTGGCATGGCTTTTTTATAATAAATAGGAGTTTTTTAGCATTTTTGGCTTTTCTTTTTGGTTTTATCCTTGATTTTTTTTTTTGAGTGTATCCATGTGCTCCAGAAAAATGATGGTTAAGAATTCCCTTGGGATCTTTCAGAATCTTTAATCCAATCCAGGGAATCTTGGTGTTCTGTCCCAAAGCACCAACCTGAGCAGGAGAGGATTTTCTGGGAAATTTGTGGAGGTTTTGGGAATCCCTGAAGGAGCAGGGATCTCTTTGTCTCCAGAGAAGCTTTTTTGGACCTTTTCCTGCCAAATCTTCTCTCCCATCCTCAGATATCCATGGCATTTATTCCCTGTTTTTCACCTGGATCATCATTGCTGTTCCCTAAAAACTGCCCTGGGAATTCCTCATTTTTCCCACACTTGAGGACCTAAACCTCCTGAATTTTTGTCTGGGGATTCCTGTGGCTCCATCACATCCCGTGGTGTCCCAGCCCTGCCTGGATTTGCTGTGGCATCTGACACATCCTGCATTTTTCAGGATGATTTTTCCCAGCAGGAAAATCCCCCAAAAAGGGAAATGCACATCCCAGGAAAAGCAGGAATTGAACAGAAATGCACATCCCAGGGAAAGCAGGAATTGAACAGAAATGCACATCCCAGGGAAAGCAGGGATTGAACAGAAATGCACATCCCAGGAAAATCCCCCAAAAACAGAAATGCACATCCCAGGAAAAACCTGGAATTTAAAGGGAAATGCACATCCCAGGAAAAGCAGGAATTAAACAGAAATGCACATCCCAGGAAAAGCTGGAATTTAAAGGGAAATGCACATCCAGGAAAAGCAGGAATTGAACACAGCCTGCTGTAGGGCCGGCAGCTTCAGCACAAACCAGGCCCTGGATATCCCAATTTTCAGGGTTTGACTGGAGCAGTTTTCCCACAAAGCCCAACCCTGCTGCTCCTGGGGTTTCAGGCAATTCTTGGGAATTTCCTGCATTTATGGGGGAGCACTTCCCTGCTCTGGGTCTGCTTCCACTGCCAAAGTGTTTGCAGCTCTTTGGGATTCTGCTTCTCTCCTTTTACTCTTTAGGATTCTGCTTTCCCTGTTTAGGATTTTGCTTCTCTCCTTTTCCCTGTTCAGGATTCTCATTTTCCCTTTTTGGGATTCTCCTTTCCCTGTTCAGGATTCTCATTTTCCCTGTTTAGGATTCTCCTTTCCCTGTTTAGGATTCTCTTTTTCCCTGTTTAGGATTCTCCTTTTCCCTGTTTTTCTCCTTTCCCTATTTAGGATTCTCATTTTCCCTGTTTAGGATTTCCCTTTTCCCTGTTTGGGATTTTCCTTTTCCCTTTTTGGGATTTTCCTTTTCCCTGTTTAGGATTTCCCTTTTCCCTTTTTGGGATTTCCCTTTTCCCTGTTTGGGATTCTCCTTTTCCCTGTTTGGAATTCTCCTTTCCCAGTTTGGGATTCTCCTTTCCCTGTTCAGGATTCTCATTTTTCCCTATTTAGGATTCTCCTTTTCCCAGTTTGGGATTCTCCTTTTCCCAGTTTGGGATTCTCCTTTTCCTCTTTAGGATTCTCCTTTCCCTGTTTAGGATTGTCCTTTCTCTGTTTAGGATTTTCCTTTTCCCTGTTTTTCCCCTTTCCCTGGTTGGGATTCTCCTCTCCCCATTTAGGATTCTCCTTTCTCTGTTTGGGATTCTCCTTTCCCTGTTTTTCCCCTTTCTCTGTTCAGGATTCCCCTTTCCCTGTTTGGGATTCCCCTTTCCCTGTTTTTCCCCTTTCTCTGTTCAGGATTCCCCTTTCCCTGTTTGGGATTCCCCTTTCCCTGTTTTTCCCCTTTCCCAGTTTAGGGTTTTCCTTCTCTCCTGCCCCTGGCATTCACACCCCTCAGGGCAATCCCTGCCTTTCCTGCTTTCCCAGGAGGAGCTGGGAGGGCTCCTTGGAGCCCCAGGTCACACAGATTTCCCAGGAGGGCTGGGAGGGCTCCTTGGAGCCCCAGGTCACACAGATTTCCCCAGAGGAGCTGGGAGGGCTCCTTGGAGCCCCAGGTCACACAGATTTCCCCAGGAGGGCCAGGAGGGCTCCTTGGAGCCCCAGGTCACACAGATTTCCCCAGAGGAGCTGGGAGGGCTCCTTGGAGCCCCAGGTCACACAGATTTCCCCAGAGGAGCTGGGAGGGCTCCTTGGAGCCCCAGGTCACACAGATTTCCCCACCCCTTTCCCTGTTTAGGATTTTCCTTTTCCCATTTAGGATTCCCCTTTCCCTGTTTTTCCCCTTTCCCTGTTTGGGATTCCCCTTTCCCTGTTTGGGATTCTCCTTTCCCTGTTTTTCCCCTTTCCCTGTTTAGGATTTTCCTTTCCCCATTTAGGATTCCCCTTTTCCCTGTTTTTCCCCTTTCCCTGTTTAGGATTCTCCTGTCCCTGTTTTTCCCCTTTCCCTGTTTTTCCCCTTTCCCCATTCAGGATTCTCCTCTCCTGCCCCTGGCATTCACACCCCTCGGGGCAATCCCTGCCTTTCCTGCTTTCCCCAGAGGAGCTGGGAGGGCTGGGAGGGCTCCTTGGAGCCCCAGGTCACACAGATTTCCCCAGAGGAGCTGGGAGGGCTCCTTGGAGCCCCAGGTCACACAGATTTCCCCAGAGGAGCT